TGTCTTCAAGTAGTGTTAGTGGATAAATGAGTGTCATTAGTGAATCGCAAATATCTCCAGATCTTGCCCCAAAAGGCGATTACCATCTATTCCTGACAGTGTCAAGTGTACAAATGAAAAAGTGACAGTGTACTCAAATGAGTATTTTTTAGTTCAAAATCCCATGGGTCTTATACCTGCTGCAATCCCAAACGAAAGCAACAATGGCTATCGCATGTTTCATGATCTTTTCAGCGCCCCAAACCAAGGCTTCATCCCCGGAAAGTTGTGTTGTGTGTGTGGTGCGATATTAGGGAAGTCATTCATTTTGGGCTTGTAAAGCAATAGCAGACGGTAACAGCTGTGAGCTTTACAGCCAACAATTTGAATGTCTTCAAGTAGTGTTAGTGGATAAATGAGTGTCATTAGTGAATCGCAAATATCTCCAGATCTTGCCCCAAAAGGCGATTACCATCTATTCCTGACAGTGTCAAGTGTACAAATGAAAAAGTGACAGTGTACTCAAATGAGTATTTTTTAGTTCAAAATCCCATGGGTCTTATACCTGCTGCAATCCCAAACGAAAGCAACAATGGCTATCGCATGTTTCATGATCTTTTCAGCGCCCCAAACCAAGGCTTCATCCCCGGAAAGTTGTGTTGTGTGTGTGGTGCGATATTAGGGAAGTCATTCATTTTAGGCTTGTAAAGCAATAGCAGACGGTAACAGCTGTGAGCTTTACAGCCAACAATTTGAATGTCTTCAAGTAGTGTTAGTGGATAAATGAGTGTCATTAGTGAATCGCAAATATCTCCAGATCTTGCCCCAAAAGGCGATTACCATCTATTCCTGACAGTGTCAAGTGTACAAATGAAAAAGTGACAGTGTACTCAAATGAGTATTTTTTAGTTCAAAATCCCATGGGTCTTATACCTGCTGCAATCCCAAACGAAAGCAACAATGGCTATCGCATGTTTCATGATCTTTTCAGCGCCCCAAACCAAGGCTTCATCCCCGGAAAGTTGTGTTGTGTGTGTGGTGCGATATTAGGGAAGTCATTCATTTTGGGCTTGTAAAGCAATAGCAGACGGTAACAGCTGTGAGCTTTACAGCCAACAATTTGAATGTCTTCAAGTAGTGTTAGTGGATAAATGAGTGTCATTAGTGAATCGCAAATATCTCCAGATCTTGCCCCAAAAGGCGATTACCATCTATTCCTGACAGTGTCAAGTGTACAAATGAAAAAGTGACAGTGTACTCAAATGAGTATTTTTTAGTTCAAAATCCCATGGGTCTTATACCTGCTGCAATCCCAAACGAAAGCAACAATGGCTATCGCATGTTTCATGATCTTTTCAGCGCCCCAAACCAAGGCTTCATCCCCGGAAAGTTGTGTTGTGTGTGTGGTGCGATATTAGGGAAGTCATTCATTTTAGGCTTGTAAAGCAATAGCAGACGGTAACAGCTGTGAGCTTTACAGCCAACAATTTGAATGTCTTCAAGTAGTGTTAGTGGATAAATGAGTGTCATTAGTGAATCGCAAATATCTCCAGATCTTGCCCCAAAAGGCGATTACCATCTATTCCTGACAGTGTCAAGTGTACAAATGAAAAAGTGACAGTGTACTCAAATGAGTATTTTTTAGTTCAAAATCCCATGGGTCTTATACCTGCTGCAATCCCAAACGAAAGCAACAATGGCTATCGCATGTTTCATGATCTTTTCAGCGCCCCAAACCAAGGCTTCATCCCCGGAAAGTTGTGTTGTGTGTGTGGTGCGATATTAGGGAAGTCATTCATTTTGGGCTTGTAAAGCAATAGCAGACGGTAACAGCTGTGAGCTTTACAGCCAACAATTTGAATGTCTTCAAGTAGTGTTAGTGGATAAATGAGTGTCATTAGTGAATCGCAAATATCTCCAGATCTTGCCCCAAAAGGCGATTACCATCTATTCCTGACAGTGTCAAGTGTACAAATGAAAAAGTGACAGTGTACTCAAATGAGTATTTTTTAGTTCAAAATCCCATGGGTCTTATACCTGCTGCAATCCCAAACGAAAGCAACAATGGCTATCGCATGTTTCATGATCTTTTCAGCGCCCCAAACCAAGGCTTCATCCCCGGAAAGTTGTGTTGTGTGTGTGGTGCGATATTAGGGGAGTCATTCATTTTGGGCTTGTAAAGCAATAGCAGACGGTAACAGCTGTGAGCTTTACAGCCAACAATTTGAATGTCTTCAAGTAGTGTTAGTGGATAAATGAGTGTCATTAGTGAATCGCAAATATCTCCAGATCTTGCCCCAAAAGGCGATTACCATCTATTCCTGACAGTGTCAAGTGTACAAATGAAAAAGTGACAGTGTACTCAAATGAGTATTTTTTAGTTCAAAATCCCATGGGTCTTATACCTGCTGCAATCCCAAACGAAAGCAACAATGGCTATCGCATGTTTCATGATCTTTTCAGCGCCCCAAACCAAGGCTTCATCCCCGGAAAGTTGTGTTGTGTGTGTGGTGCGATATTAGGGGAGTCATTCATTTTGGGCTTGTAAAGCAATAGCAGACGGTAACAGCTGTGAGCTTTACAGCCAACAATTTGAATGTCTTCAAGTAGTGTTAGTGGATAAATGAGTGTCATTAGTGAATCGCAAATATCTCCAGATCTTGCCCCAAAAGGCGATTACCATCTATTCCTGACAGTGTCAAGTGTACAAATGAAAAAGTGACAGTGTACTCAAATGAGTATTTTTTAGTTCAAAATCCCATGGGTCTTATACCTGCTGCAATCCCAAACGAAAACAACGATGGCTATCGCATGTTAAATCATCTTTTCAGTGCCCAAAACCAGGGCTTCATCCCCGGAAAGTTGTGTTGTGTGTGTGGTGCGATATTAGGAGAGTTCTTCATTTTTAGCTTTCAAAGCAATAGCAGACCGCCACAGCTGTGAGCTTTACAGCCAACAATTTGAATGTCTTCAAGTAGTGTTAGTGGAAAAATGAGTGTCATTAGTGAATCGCAAAGATCTCCAGATCTTGCCCCATAAGGCGATTACCATCTATTCCAGACAGTGTCGAGTACACAAATGAAGAAGTGACAGTGTACTCAAATGAGTATTTTAGTTCAAAATTCCAGAAGATTTCGAAAATAGAATAAGAAAGTTGAGTGATAGACGGGAAAAGATCATCGAAACTGATGGTCAATATATCGATGATTGTAAATAAATATATGTGTTAATTTTTTTCACCGAAAGTCATAGTTAAAAAACGACATTACTTATGGGATGACCTAATATTTAAAAACCCTATATTTTAATTAAATTGATCATAGACTGAATTCACGATTTCAATATATATCAGTAATTATTTATTGTTAGATTTTTTTATTGTTTAATATTCATTTATAAATAGTGGATTTTTTTTATAAATATTCCGAATTCTTTGGAAATATTAAAGTTTGTTCGTGATTGTTGTTTTAATGGATGAAAAATAAAATACTTGCATCAAAAGGGTATGCAAATTGCAATTAAATATGTTATATTGAGAGTTAATTTCGACGAGAATCGTAAAATATAATTATTGCAATATCTACGTCTCAATTCACGTATTTAGTAAAAAGAAAATATTTTAATTATTCAAATATTAATTTATAATATCAGTTTTATTATGATCAATGAAAATAATCTCATTTTGACAGTATATAATTTTTAATTTTGCGTGTGTACTAATAAATTTTCATTTCAGCTGCTAATCTTTTGAACAAGTTCTTTTTACAGAGAATGGAAGCATAGGAAGAATGAAATTGGGAGTCATACACGGATTCGAACTTCATCATTTTTAGAAAAATATCAATTTCATACAATTTTACTTATTGTCTCTTTTTATGTTTCAGGAAAACATCGTGGGATCAATGAAGACTTCAAGAAACAAATATCTCATCATATTTCTTTATTTTGTATGAATTACATTTATTGTATGTTAGTGTATGTTTCAGAAAATCATCGTGGGATTAATAACAACATCATGAAGAAAATATAAGCATCGTGGGATTGACAAAGACATCATCAGGAAGATTATTTCAGCAGATTGCGTTAAAATACAAGTCTAAATTATAATTATGCGATTACAAATGCTTAGATTATAACAAGCATGGTTCTATTGCGATTAATATTAAGGTGCATATTAGTATTCCAATATGCAAGGTTCATACGTGCAGTTGCACATCTCTTCTTGGTTCTTCAGTGTCTTATTAGGCACTCATTGGTATTCTAGAAGTCAGGATTCATACGTGCAGTTGCACTTTACTATAACATATGGAGGATCGCCACACGTGTGGCAAAATATTGTTAGATTTTTTATCTCTGTATCAGTCAGAGTTTGTACGTGCAGTTGCACTCTCCTATTTCGTTTTTGGAAAACATGTGGTGGATTGCCACGCATGTAGCAACATTTTGTTAGACTTTCTGTCTATTTATTTATCTTTAGTCAGGAAGTTCTTCTGAGAACTCTCCCTTTGACGTTTGTTTCCAACAATGGCCAAATTTTGATAGTTTTTCTCTTTCCTTTTTTCTTCAGACTAAAATAGAGTTAGGATTCTCGCCAAAGGAAGGGTGGTTGGGGCGAGGCTAGGGTGGGTCTCCATTCGCAGCAACCTCCACGTGGTGAGACCTGGGTCATATTATTTAGCGTTTAATCAATAATACAATTATTAATTACACACTAAATAATATGTGCAAATTGGCTGCGATTCGCGTTGCATAGGTTCTCATAAATATAGCGCTTCTTCGCTAGATCAGTTTTGATTCTCATAGTTTTGGTAGTGGATATAAATATTTAACAATATTCTATTGAATTACTTTGTCGTATCAAAGATAAAAGTTTATTATCTATAATATACAACATATAATGACAGTATATAAAAAGAAACTAATTAAAAAAACAATTAGTTGCAATCAACTATTAATATAAATTATACTATAAGAAAATACTAATGTTAGTCGTTATTTTCTGACAGTTATATGTTGCTTGTACATGAAGCACATAAAAACATTGCAAAACAGGTGTCACGACAATCAATTGTCATTGTTCAAGGATACACCTTTTCCAGTCCATCTCTCCTTCAGTTCTACTTTCAATCCCAGATCCCTCAAAGCCGCGTTCACGTCGCTTTCGATCTTAGAGCCGTGTAGTTGAAGTGCAGTCTTCAAGACATCCTCTACACCATACGCAACAAACTCTTGACACTCCCTCTTATTTCTCACAGACATGTTTCTGATAGCCCAAGCAGCTTGTTTCAAAACACTCAAACTCTTAGAATAAGCTTTCATCGCGTCTATGATTACAAGCGGCGCACCGCAATCGTAAAACACACCAGCGTTCTCGGAACACCTTAATGTTAATGCGGAAATGCATGCAAGTCCAGCTGTTACTACACACTCCGAGTCCTATGATAGAATCAGCGTTTTGTATACAAAAATTGTCATTTCAGATACAATGGACAAAATACCAATCGACATGGTTTTAAAAGAACCAGTTTTACAACGACAAAAGACTTACCTTGAGCCTGCTAACAGCAGCCACGATTAGAGGGCTGCAGCCTGAAGTTACAATGTGTGATTTTACACTGTCGTTGCCAGCCAGGGCTTTCAATAGTTTCAAGGCCTGCCAGTTCAGTTTCTCCGAGTCTGGGTAATCAACCATAATGTCTATAACAAATTTGAGCCCTCCCGCTTCCTCTACCTCTTGGCAGAATTCGTTCCTCACAATTAATGCAGCTAAAGTTATCATTAAATCTCCTACAACCCCTTTGTTTTTTTTAAACCCTACATTCAAGCAACGTATTCGTTAGAGCTTTCTCATCCGCAGGCTAGACTTACACGATATAAAAGAAACAAGTATTTACTTGGCATCAACCCAGTTAAAACATTCAGGGCCCCTTTGGCGATAATACTTGCATGCTCGTGAGCTTTCCCATATTCGTGTCTTATATCATCGTCCAACACCAGCGCTCTGATCACAGCACAAGCGTCTCTTAATTCAGACCCACTTGCATTTTCTCTGACCAATATTTTCTTAAGTTTACTGAAGATGTCTGCGTTGAAAATACCTTGTCTGTTGCGCTCATGTTTTATGCAACATTCTCTTATCCAGTGCAAAAGATATTGTAACGTTGGAATATCGGTACATCTATCTAAAATCCTAATAAATAATGTAATGTATAAAAGGAGCAAATAATTATTTTATCATAATTATTAATTCTTACTGTATTTGCAAGGCTATTCCTTCGTCGTTCAATAAGTCTGGATTACCACTCATTAACGAGGCAATAGTTTTCAATGAAGATCTTATCACAGAGCTATTATTAGGGCAAGATTTCATTAATTTTATTAAAGTGTCATATCCTCCCTTTTTACCAGCATACAGTCTTCTAGCAATATCTTTATCCAACTCGTGCCTTAATTTGTCCAATGTATGAGGCACATTCTCATAATTCTTCTCTGCCACAGCTATCTTGAGTTGGTTCAGATAAGATTCTATCAGTTCAGTGTCATTGCTGATGATTAAATCTTTAATGATGTTGCTCAAGTCTACCCCCTACAAAAATAGAGTCGATAAAAACAACCACGGCACACAGTGTGCACTTACGCAACTTGTTCTAGATTATTTGAATTCTGATTTTCGCATTACAATTTTAAATATATATTTAATGAAATATCATTTTACATTTATTATAAATTATTATTTCAATGAAATTAATAATTTTCATATATCATAAAAAAGGAATAATACTAGGAAGGTATGATACACCATTAAAAAATGCAAGTAATCTTTTCAATAAATATATTTAGCATAATAACGGAGAATAACTGGTAACAATTGTACTTTTAAATATGTCAAAACATTGAATGATATCACAAATGTCATCCAAAGTATTTTTATTTAACAAACTGTACAGATCAACTCGATGACAGTACAGAATAAATTATCATTTTTCCAGTAAGCTTTAAATCAGAAAATCAGAAAAAAATAAATCAGAGTACCTGGGCATCGAATTGTTTTATAGCATCCTCGATAGCTTCCTCGGGTGTCATCGAAAATTGCTCGATATTTTCGTTAACGACTTCGTCGTAGGTTTCCTGAGTAATTACGCGGACCATGATAACACTGTTTCTTTGTTCACCGTGTCCTAGATTTCTATATTAGGAAACGAATGTGCTCTCTTATGAGAATACGGTGTGTTTTATCCACGTGAAAACAAAACGACAAATGTTAATCTAATCATGTTCGGCAATGCATTTATTGGGAACGATGAACAGGTGGGGGATGAATGTTTAGGTGGTCCCTAACACATCGTCTTTAGCTAGTTTCTCGTTACACCTATTTTATATTCTTTGTTATATTACGTTTTTCAAACGCAAGAATGGCTGAAATAGTTTATTGAAAAATTCATATTAAATGTAACCTATCTTTTACAGTTATTAGCTTAAATTATTTAAACTTGTTGGTAGGAAAAATTCAGGAGCACGCAAGGATTTTTAAAAAGGGAATCGTTTCAGTTAAGTAGGTGTATTGCAGGACAATGGGACATGAAAATAAATTCGAAAGAGTCAGTTTCTCATCATGATAAAACGTAAGCAATGATCGACCGCAGCGCCCTCAGCTGCTTAGGCTGGCCTAACCGTGTTCGTTCGTGTTGTGATCGAGGGAAACAATTCTTTGTCACTTACCTTTTGGCATTTCCAACAATTCTCGTTCATCCGTCGGAGCTCGAAGCTTGAAAAATTGAGGATCCAATGTGTCGAAGTGCGAAGGTACCGTTCTCCGGATTAAATCGTCTCGATAAAACGCGTTTCATCGACTCTCGATTCCCGTATCCCCACCAATATCAATCTTCGACGTCGAATTTGTTTCCCCGTGAAGAGTTTAATCCGCTTTGAAACCCTTTCGAACCTGTGCGAAATACTGTTGCGTAAAAATGAAAAATGAACGCTTCGCGGGTATCCGAACGGTGCAAATTTCTTATTTACACCACACGCGTGTGATGTTCGCTTCGCGATTCATTATCGAAGGCGTGTTCTGTACGATTTTGTGTGTGTATAGAACCGCCATGTGATTCAACACGAACTGTCGCGATCGTAAGTTTATTTCACGATGAAACAGGGCAAAAAGTTGTTTGCAATTGCAACATTATGATAATAAATACTTATCGACGGTTACGAGCAACGCGTGAACCATTCGCGTCACTCGTTCGGATACGCGTATGATGCTTCGTTTATGATTCTTTTTTTCTTTATCGATGGTATCATAAAACGCTATAAATATCGTGTTATAAACTACTTCCACCTAATAATAGTTCATCACGATACATTCTAGATAGTGTGTACAGTATTGTGCATCGTTTTCGATCATTTCTAACGTGAGATATTTGGGAAAATCGAAAGTTTGATGAAACACTGTTAGTTAGAAACTATTTGATCGTTTAACCAATTAATTACAATGAATTTATTGTTTGTACATTACAGGGAATGCAATAGGGCCTGGAAGGTGAAAGTGGATATGAAACACCATGAAATAAATATCCAATCAAAGGAAGAGGTACATTCGAGCAGTTGATCTTCACGAAAGAAATACAGAAAAGAATGATGAGATCATGATGCATCGCAACATTATGCATGGCTAATTATCATTGCGTTCATATCGAGCTATTTTGAATGATTCTATGCGTTCAGAGAAGCTGACGCTTGAAAAATCATCATAGTTTATCATTGCATACATCGCTTTACATGTGTATATATAAATATATATATATATATTAGAAATATATATATATTTATATATATATATATACACATACATCTAGCAACAAGATTTTTAAATATAAATCTATGTATACACGCGAGTAGCCTTAAAGCAAGAGTTACCGTAAGTTTTTGATAATTCTGGTGCTGGTTGATATAATCAACAAAGAGAGATCAAATTCGTTCGACTAAAGAAGTTATAATCGTACCATGTTTCTCTGTATCTGGTAATAATCAGCTTCCTTAAACGATGCTCAAACAGTTACAAATACTCTTAAATAGCGTACGCAGAGTATCAAGTAAGAATCTGTTCTGACACACGATAAGTGGCGTAATCGAGACGTTAAAAAAATGTTTTAAGTCCACGGGGAGGATGCGCAATGGTCGGAAGGAATTATGTTCTGTGATTGTAGCATTTTGCAAAATTACCCATGTTGTACCATGTGCGACTGAGAAACGAGTTAACTGTAATATATTTTTCCACGACGAAAGTAATACGTTAATAATCGTTTCTAAACGAGTTTTGGACGACGCTGTGTTTCTGGGAAACGAGAAACAGCGCTTATGCTTGTCCGTGCATCGGAAGAACCGAAGAGAAGACTTTGTACCGGTTAGAAATCTCTCTTCATGCATCTCCCAATTCATAAAATTTTTAATTTTAATTTTAACAGTGATTATTGTTTTTTCAGACGTTGAAGGTACACTCGAGGAAGTCCTAATGCTGAAAGGAAATTTATCACCGTATTTAGACACTCGTGAAGAAGAAGAGTCGTCTTATGTAACTCTCAGCAATGGGCCATACGGTACTTAATCTTATACTAGTAAAATATTACACGTAAAATATAGAATAGCATAATTAATCTGTTTTTTTTTTGTTGCAGCGTATGTAGCCGATTCAGCTACCACTGGACCCAAGAATAATCATGTCCTCGTAGATGTATATTTTGTAACCCCTATTCTTTGTAAACACTGTAAGTAAATATCGAGCATTATTCATACATATTCCCTTGTAAATCGATCATTTATATTACAGGTGAAGATTATGTTTGGGGCACTGGACATGTGGGAGTCAAATGCAAAGGTGAGTTTGATATGTTTATTAATAAATTACATGCGATTATCGTTCGTATCTCGTGTAGATCCATAGTGTCTTGTCCCAATGATTAAGAAAAACGAGTTGAATTTATCTTTTAAAAATGTAGTAATTTTATCGATAACCAGAGCAAGTTATCGAACGATATTTTTTTTCCACGTCGAGAATATTACCGACCGCGTAAAAAATTGATCGGTTCGCCCTCTGGCCGGGTGAACCGTGAACTCCGGTCGGCGGTGGTCGTTTCTTGGATCGCCGTCGAGGGCGACACCGTAGCATAGTAACACATGCAGTCGTGGTGATTTCAAGTGGCGTGCTATCGTGTCCCCCTTCACCGTGCGTCCCGTTCGTTTCCAGCTCGGCCGGCAGTTTCTTTTCTGAAACTCCACAACCCTCTCCTATCCATCTTGCTCCCCACCATCGAGCCTTTGCCATCATACGATCCAGGGACGTCTCAACTCTTCGCAAGCATTCGCTCCTATATCCTAATTCGTGGGACATTTCGAGCATCCAACCTCAACCCAGTGAGTTTCTTGCACACTCGATCGATACTCTAACGTTCCAAAACAGTAATTGGTTGCGTGAAATCTTGGAACGGTAAAAATTTCAAACGAACGCCGTAACAATTGCTAACCAAATATCGTTTTGTATATGTTAATTGTAAAGTGAATTTGGTTCTTGGAGTTTCTATTTTTCGAGTCCTATGATAATTCGGGAATTCTCGTCGAGCTCCTATGCCGGATATAGACACGGCAAGTCTAAATACGTGGAAGATACAGAATTAGCGGGCAAGAGAGGTAGAAATCGTTGGTCGTATATCCGCGTATAAGCCCAGATATTGTACACTCGGCAACTGTGCAAACGAAATTACTTACGTTTCATTGGATTTCACGCTCGAGAAAAAATGAAACTAACGGCAGCGCGCGCGCTACGTTCGCGTAACTCTGGGCACGAGCGAACGGTTTTTCAGTGGCACGCGTTCGCCACGAAATTGTAGAAAAGTGTAACCTCCCAAACACTATGGGGAATCGAGGCGTTTTTGAACTCTAAAGTCGTGGATCGACGGTAGTCGACCGTTGGATGATCTTCGAGAATCGATGCATTCGATTACTGCACGCCTACGTGACCATACTCGCGTCGTGTCGGAATCGATGATTCCGTCGTGACGCAGGGAAGAAATGATCGAAGAAAAACGGCCCCGCGGCACGATAGAAAACGGGTTCTCTTTGTTCCTGGGACACGCTTTCGGATGCATAACCCTTCCATGACCTACGTTCGACCCGACTCGTCCTTGCCATTCAACGATCACTCTCTTTTCTATCGAACAAACTCGGAAAATGGAAAATACGTTTCCAAAGCGGCGGGATCCACTTCTCGTTCACGCTGTCCCCGTGATTTATGCGGAAACAGCTGATCTCAATTTGGCCGGGGACCACGTTGCACGGAGTCTACGCGAGGAAATTCCTCGGGGAAACGGGTCTGCATCTTTTCTTCCGGATGATCGGGCTTAAATATTCCACGATCTTTTCTTCATAGTCGATGAATTTATTTTCATATACGTACGCTTCGAACGGTGGTTTTCTTTGCTCCATCGATCCGCTCGTAAAATTAAACTCCGTGCGTCATTCGTAATCGTCCGCTCTCGAAATTCGTCGGCGTTAGGGATGTCTAAATAACGATTCTTCCGTCGGTGTTCGCGCCTTCGCGGGTTCCTCGTTTGGAAAGGGTGTTGAATTTCCGTGAAAATTTCATCGAGGCATACGCGATAAAAGCTTGGTGGGAAAGAGCGACGCCTAAGCGTTGGCTCAACGACGCGTTTCGCCTCTCCCGGCCCGACAGAACGAGAGAAAACGATGAGGCACACCGAGCTGTTTCGAAGGACAATCGAACGGGGTCAAAAGTCCTCCTGTTGCTACGTGAAACGAACGAAGCCATGGAAACGAGCTCGTCGCGCAAGCGCCTTCGCCCTTCCGTCGCTTTCCCCCCTTTTTTCCTCAATTTCCGGCTTTCTCTCTCTCTCTCTCTCTCTCTCTCTCGTTCTCTCTTTCCTTCCACCGGTCTCGTCGACGAGGCAGATGCACGAGTTTTTCCACTTTTTAGCCTCGAGTCGCGTGTGTTGTTCGTCGGTCTTCCAGAAACGATGGAAACACTACTGTTCCCTTCGATCTCGCGAACCCAAATCGCCCAACATTTTACGGGCTCGTTCCTCGGCTAGGGTATTTCGACCTTCTCTCCGCGTCGCGTCTGATTTGTATTCGATTCGTATCTGGCGGAACGTTCTGTACATTCTTATCAATCGGGGGAGCATTAACTTCCGTATTTTCTCGTCGACGTGGCACCCAAGGTACGATGCACTTTCGATAGCGTCACGACGGTCTTGATCGATCGAGGAGATCGCGGATAAGAGAGAACTCTTTTATGCGTGCGCCGTGTTCGATGCAGGGCCCAATAATGCCGTGTTCCATAGCCTATGACCTTAATTGAATAATTTCGATCCGAACGACCTCGACACCACCCCCTCGCTCGTCCCGTTTACACGGCCCATTCGTATGCACTTTGACCGTCGAACGGAAGCCTCTACGGAGCAGCTGGTCGTCCGGTCAAACTCGCACAATTTCAGCCTGTCTGCCCAGGGGAATTATCGGTTCCAGAATTTTTAGTTTTCTTTGTCGCTTCCAGAGGGGGTGGGTTTCGTTCTGGGCCTGCTACCACTGGACTATGGTCAGTAAGGCTCCCCAGCAGGCCCTGGGTCGAGCGCTTGTGAGAGCGTCGGACCCTTCTGGTGGTGAGCTTAGGAGGCCACAATCTCATTTGTAGCGTGGTTATTTGGGCCCAGGAAGTTGTTAGGGCCCCCCCATTCGCGATGATTCCGTGTTTTGGAGCCGGGAAACTCCCGGAAGCGAGTTCCAGGCGGTGGGGGGTGAGGCGTTAGTCGTCCAAGTTACGTGTAACCCCCGCGACGCGTGACAATACTTCCACGTGTACGGGCGTCGTGCTTCGACTCGTTCTCGAGAACGCGCCTACGTATGCCTACTTACGTCCGTGCATCGGCTTCTCGTACACGAGCTCTTCGTATCAGATCGGTCGATTAAACTAAAATTAACTCGTCCACCTCGAGCGTGTTCCCTCTTTCGGAGCACCTTCGCCGTACGTTATACTCGATTGTTCCGGACGTTTAGCCCCGTGTCCTTACGCTTTTCTCCCTCCTTAGGACCAGAATTCTTTCATTTCGGTTTGTGCGGAGCTGAGATCGGCATCAGTTTTTCTTTTCGCGCGTTTTATCGTCTCATTTGCCCTGGGGATCACCGGTGACCGTCACTCTGAACTTGGAATTCGGTGCAATATTTGGAATTTTGATACTTGTAAACTATGCTATTTCCATTTGGGATATTGTAAAATAAGAAGTTTACCATTTAAAAACGATGTATTGGCACGGTGGTTACCGGTGACCGTCACACTGAACTTAGAATGCATTGCAATATTTAGAATAAAAGAATCTTAATATTGGTAAATGACGCTATTTTAATTTGGAATAATGTAAAATAACAAATAAACTATTTAAAATTGACACAGATTGGTGGTCACCGGTGACCGTCACTCTGAGCTCACAACCCGTTGAAAAATAACAAATTCACAAATCGTGAGGACATTCTTGGCCATTGTGAGGTTCAATACAATCGTATTAAAAGCTTCCGGGGTGTAAGTTCTTTTATAACTGCACGCATCGATACAGTATCGATGTCGTATCGCGAACGTTAATATTGGTAATTTAAATTCAGCGACCAGTGTCGTATCAAGTGCAACAGCCCTCCCCCAGAAAGTGTCGTCTATTTAGTTAGCTCAGTTTCTAATATCGACGAGCTCTGATTGCGAAATGCTCGTCGTTGTTTCCATTATGCACGTTCGGCGTGAGAAAGTTTCGCGATCGTACGCGAATTTGTATCGACGAATGCAAGAAACACGTCGCCCGGTTGCTTTTAATAAACCTCGTACGTAGCTTGCACGTAACTTTCGATTAAGCCGCTCGGGTATATGCACACGCCTACTTCTCTCTTCGCGCTCGCCTCCTCGCCCCGATGAACTCACAATGAAGTTCATTCATCATCCTTTTATTCCGATTTTTGATACACACTTCCAGCAATCTTGCCTTATAACCGATTTATGATACATACATATTTATGAGCGGAATATTCGTTCGACGGCGAAAGTTATTCCAGGCACTGTTCCAATAGTTCGCGAGAGCCAACGAAACTAGAAAACCCCCCAATCCGTCCTCTTTTTGCACGAAACCGGGGGATTTTCTTTGCAAACTCGAGAATTAATGCATTCAAATTGGCCACCGATCTGATTCCCTCCACACTGCTCTAAAAAATCGATTTTCTCCGTGTGTATTTCACGAATCTACGCTTTTACCATTCAAAATTGAATGATTACGGTGACGAACGGGAGGAGTCTGTGTGCTCGCGCAGCGTGCAAATTCCGCGTGAAAACTCCACGGAAAAGAAGAAAGAGAAATCGAGCGCGTGGTTCTTTTCCCGATAGGAATCGCGTGTCGTCGCGAATGCATTCCCCTCCGCGGTTCGATTAGGCTCGCGGGCTGCATTTCAGGGAATGTTACACACAGCCGGGATGCACGCGATAGAGCTGCATTGATTCGCAGATATAGAGGCCCCCAGGCTTAGGGCGGAGGTCATGGGTAATGGAGTGCACCGTCACGTTGCTATGGGAAATTCGGGATTCCCCGGGATAAAGGATGAAGTCGACGCGAGGAGAATAGGGTGCGTACAACGCAGTTGATCGAAACGTCCTCGCGACGCGAAATATCGATAATTTTCGACGTTCTCCTTGAGCCTCGATAATTCACAAACACTCTGCTCCTGTTTTGGACGGAGTAATATTCTTTTTCGTTCGAGATGAAACTCAGCGTCGAAGGACGCGGTCGATTCGCGTTGGCGTGCATTTCCTATCTTTCCGTTCGGCAATTACACGCTGGCTGCTAATTATTACCGTCGAGGCACCCGCAATTTCGTCGATTGCGTAACGCGTCGCGCTGTAACTCGTCTCATTACCGAGAATCCACCGCCCACGCTTCCTACGACAGTCTCGCGACGTATAGTTCTCTCTGAATCATATTTAGAGGCTGTTAAGTAACGACACTTGCCTTCTCGATATAAAAAAAAATACAGAAACCGATATCTTGACGAATTCATTTGCATCGTTACGCAATCTCCCGCATCGATGATGTTTTCGAATTAATTGGCGCGTTCGTTTTGAACGCGTGAAACTATCGCGAGCAAACAGCGAAATAAAACCGAGAGAGCCGCTTTTGTACAATCGCCGGGGCGTGTCCTCGTGTTTAAACATCGGAAACAAAACGGGGGACCCGTGTGTAGCATCGTTTCGTTCCTCGATAAAAAGTACTATCACCCCTGATAACCGTTCCTCGAGCGTTCTCGAATAACTGATATCTACGAGAGGCTGCCCAAGTACAATGGCGCTTATTGTTATCTCAATGTCCAGAATGATCGAAATTCTAAAGATCGCTTTCTCCCGTTCGATGGATCGATCTGTCGTTGGCGATTTTATCCGAGTTTCGAAACATTCCATAGAGATTCGTGAAATTTTACGAGACTCGTCGCTCGTTGACCGACACGGGACCTAAACGTTCGACTGGCCGCGACTCGAGCAGTTGAAAGTTATCAAGCAAGATTCGCGTAATATAGATATTTAATAACGCGCCGCGCCTCTTGCGACCTGATTCGAAACATACCACTGTGCACGGTAAAAGAAAAAAAAATAACCGCGTTCCTTGTCGCAACCATAACGTTGCGCACTATGACGCGAGTCGAAGTTTTCCCTCCATTTTGGTCCTTGTTCCACTTTGGTTATAATTCAATCGAAACTTATTGGACGATCCCGAAAGGGGAGTCCACCCTTTTTAAATCGGGGGGAAATCGATCCTTCGGGCAGGACGAAAGGTTGGTCTCTCGGTGGTTGGCGGTACTGTGACCTTGAACAGGATACTCGATGGTCGCGCGCATGCGCGGCTAAATTCGATCATCCTACGTCCAGGGATCCTTGTATCGCCTCCCTTCCCTCACCCCCTCGCTCCATTCGCCTTGGAAAGTCGCTTTTCACTTTCACGTCCCTTTCTTCCCTTTCAAGTACACGCGTGCGACCCTTTCATGCAATTCGAGCACCCCGCGGAGGCCCTTGGTGCGCGCGAGAGCACGTGCGTACGCACTTGAACGTATCGCGAGCATTCACGATAAGAGAGAACGAAGAACGTAAAGAATGAAATCTGATTCCTAATTCCTGAGAGGGGAAGCACGGGATTTTGATTCCCTCTTCGAATTTTTCAAGCTCGACGGATCTACATTTGACACGAACGAGCAATTGGTCCAGCTCTCGATACAGCCACGAACACGACGCTAAACTCAATATTGTTTTCATCGTGCTTAAAATCCGCGGATGCGTCTGTTCGACAGGCTTTATCGCGCGGCTGGTCCTCGATAAGAGCAAGCCCGAGTCCGGACCGACGGTAATTTTTTAATCAATCGGTTCGTACGTGTTCCGCGAACGATGACAGCGCTGGCCGCGCTCGAACTATTCGACCAGATCAAACTTCTTCGAGTAATAATAGATCGTACGCTGGTTCTTGTAAAATCGAACCAGATATTGCCGCAACTCTGCCTTCGATACGCTAGGTGGAGGATTTTCCGTATCCAAAGCGTCACCGCAAACAAATCTATTTCCCTTGTTCGTCGACGGAATTAGACGATATTTTAAAACGCGAGGAGCGCGCGTGGGAGTCGAGGAGCTCGGAGGAAATTTTCGGGAAGCCCCGGGGCCCGGCGGTCGCTTCGCGCGGAGGTGGTCGTGCTGAGGACACGGAAACGGCCGAAACAAGACGGCGAGGGCCGAGGTGGAACGTCGACGGTCGAGCTCGAGCAACCCTCGGCAGGCTGCGACTGCTATGGCTATTGACCGAACTTGGCGGACCGGCCGGTCAGCTGTGCGCCGAGCCGCCAGAGAAGATATTTTCTCTGGTAGGGAATCGTACGCGTAAGAACACTGGTGAAACGGATATCGTACGGGCGGTAAAACGGGACGGGGAACGACGAGGATCGGTCTTATTACAATATATCGTGCGCTTTGACAACGATCCGGCGAAGGTGGAAGGAAGCCAGGAAGAACGGACGGACAGTCGGAGAGAAAGAGAGAGTACACGCCGAGTACCGTACGTGACTGTTTATGATACACGGGGCGATATTCGTGTTCCTCTTTGGTGCGCGAACTCCATAGACTCCTGGAGGCCCCCCTCCCTCCCCCCCTCGAAAACATTGAATCTTCGATACACGTACCGTACCGGAAAGATAAAAGTCAGTGGTGGGTAGGAGAATGGCACACGAAAGACGGATGAGTCGAGAGCGAGAAAGAGACTAACAGTGTCCCGAGGGAGGAAGAGAGAGAGAATTGGTGCATGTACGAGAGGAGTGAAGGTACGTCAGAGAGAGAGAGAGTGTGTGTGTGTGTGTGTGTGCGTGTGAGAGAGAGAAAGAGAGCGTATGTGAGAGGGAGAGATAGTGCCGTGCACGTACGTGCATAAAAGTGACGCGGTTGTGTGCGTGTGTGCAGGTGTACGCGTGGTGCAGGCCGCCGGTGCAAAAAGTGCAGTGCCCAGTGGACTTTTCCATCCCGTGACCAAGAGGTGCGTGCGCTGCTTCGACGAGTAGGCACGTATACACCGGTCTTTCGGCGTGGACCGGATCGGTGAAGGAATAGGAACACTTGGTATCCTCGGTTTTTCCCCGAAAAACGTGCCCCGGGAACGGTTCAGCGTCGATTCGAGCATCCCGGAGGTGTCAGAGTTCAGTATCGTCGATAGAAGAACCTGGGGAAGCATCGAACGATTATCTTTCGGGAACACGGGAGGCCACCAAGGAGAAAAAGGTTATATGCGTGGCGAGAACCAGCAACGAGGTGTACCAGTTGTCCGGCGGCGCTCTGCCTTACCGACGGATCCCACCGTCGACTCACCGATGGTAAAGTGCCTCCACCAAGCGATCTATCGGGGAAAGAAGAACGCGAACGAAATCGAGGAGGCAGACGCACCAACCGCAGTCGCGGACTTTTGGTAGTCGCGATAAGGGCGAGAGCGCGGATGTGTACCGTTTCGTAATCGATAATCTGTGCGGCGGATCGTTCGAACAACGGAGTACGTTGGGTTACGTGAAAACGTTTACGATCCACAACGATCTACGTGAAAGTTTCGTGACTGTCGGTGAGATCGAGGCATGTTTTTACCGCGAACCGTGCTGACGGAGATTTACGCCTCGCAACTGTATCCAACGTGTCTCGAATTAACGAGCCATCAAGACTGATTCGAAGTAGCCGAAAACCATTTAGTGGTGGGACAGTTTTCACGCATGGCTGGATTACGATTACCTATCGCCCCCATTGGAGAGAATTGACCGTATTGGTGAACCGCCGTCGATCCGATCGACGAGGGGGACCTTGTTGGGGTCCACCTGGAGTCGCTCTGTCGTCGAGACACGAGGATCTCTTTCTGGGTCTGCACGGCCGCACGAGGAGGGACTACGTTGAAAATCGTTCGGTGTCGTTGCTTGACGAAACCGGTTTCGTTCGGCTCGGCGAATCTCGACGTTTATACAAAGGTCGTGTGTGCCCCGCGCTAGAGAGAGACACAAACAGAGAGAGAGAGAAAGAGAACGAGGGAGAACGTGTGGTAGGAGCCGAGATTTATGGAAAACGAATTTACACGAGGTCACACCCACGGGAGCGACTCTATCTCCATCTCTCTCCCCCCTTTTTCCACTTCTTTATACGTGCGTATCCGTCTATTTCCACTTCGATCGAGTTTAAACGCGGCTACGAAATCGTTGGGATCGCCTCGATGGAAAGGTTAACGTTTGAATTTTACCGATCGTCGTTCTCTCTCTCGTCTCGGTTCTCTCTCTCTCCGCGCGGTAACGTACAACGGAATATTTCCTGCCCGAAGATATCGGCGATAAGTTAACGATCGAAGCGTTGGACGAAATGCGAGTCGTGGAAGTTGCAACGTAACCCCCCTCTCCTCTACCCCCCTGTTCGAGAGGTGTGTGTTTGGAAGGGACGATGACGGGTCCGAGGAGGGCTCAGGACTCCCCGGAAAGCGGAAACTTGGCGGAACAGGAGTTTCAGAAAACCTAGTGGCTCGACGGAGGAAAGGTTTGATGATTGTGATCATTGGCCCGAGCGATGAAGCGGGCGACAAGCGCATCCGCCGCAGCTGCGACCGCTGCTTCGCAGGTGCAGCAGCCCGCGGTCAGTTTACACGGCCGGATACACGATCTCCTTAGCCCGATAACGGCGGTGGGTGGCAGCGGGGACAGGGAGGAGCACGAGAAGAAATCCAGGACGGGCGCGACGACGACGAAAGCAGCGGTATCGTCGCCGAAGAGAACCACCTCGAGCGATGACACCAAGTCCAAGTCCACGGCCATGTCGCGGCTGTTAGCCGTAGACGCGGACAACTATATGCTGCGCAAAGGCGCCGGGACCACGACGACGACGAGCACCGTGGCAGCCTCGACGTCCTCAGCGTCGTCGACGATCGCCAGCCAGGCCGCCATCGCCACAAATTTGCAACTGCATCGCGACACCAGGAAGCGACAGTTCCTGACCAACGTCGTCACCAGCAATGTTACTTGCAACGAGATCCAAATGACCCCCTCGACGAGCTCCCCCGGCGAGGATCGATCCAGGGGGACCGTCGCGTTATCGAAACGGTACCCCAATCAACAGAGCTCGGTAAACAGCAACTCCTGCGCCGTTGTCACCGTCACCGCCACCACGTCCTCCGTTTCCACGAGCTTGACGAACGGTAACGCGATCGTCAGCCATCGCGTTACCGGCAGGTCGAACGTGTCCACCTTGAACGAGGAACAGAACGCGAGGAAATCGGCCGAGGAGGCGGCCCGCGAGTACGACGAGCTTTGGAAAGGGTTTGTTTCGTGCGCGAGGCCAGTGTCGTTTCATCGATACGTGTGCTGGTGCGAGGGTGGCGTGCAACAAAATCGCGACGCGTCGAAACCGATCGGTCACGAGGGCTCGGGTCCCGGTAGCGGGCAGCGCGCCCTTGTCAAGGGCAAAGGAGGCGGCCTCGAGCCGCCCCCGCTCGATAGAACATTCGCTAAACTCGGACGTAATCCGTGCTGCTGTTGCATGTGCGGTTCTGTATGTCCTGCAGAGTGCCATGCGTGCTTCCACGTGGTCTGCTCCGAGCACAGCGGGCAGCACCTCTGCCAATGGAGTAGCAAGGGTCACGCGCTACCGGGCCAACTTTACGACAAGGATAAGGTCAGTAACCGGTCGCCATTTTACTATTATTATTCAATAATTTTAATGGACCCCTAATTACAAACTAATACAGCTAAAATAGAATATAAAATACTAAAATAATATGAAAATATTGTAATAGAAAAATAACAATATTGTATAATACATTTCAGTGGACCCTTTTTTGCAAACTTATACAGCTAAAATTGAATACAAAATACTAAAATAATTAGAAAATACAGTAACAGATAGGTGTATACAAAAATAACAATATTATATAATACATTTTACTGGACCCTTTTTTGCAAACTTATACAGCTAAAATAGAATACAAAATTCTAAAACAATACAAAAATATTGTAATACACATGTCTATAGAAAAATAACAATATTGTTATTATTTTATAATACATTTCAATGGATCCTATTATTTTACAAACTTCTACATCTAAAATACATTACAGAATACTAAATATTAAAATATTACAAAAATACAATAACAGATAGGTGTATACAAAAATAACAATATTGTATAATACTATAATTGAATACAAAATATTAAATTTTAAAATAGTACAAAAGTATACTAAAACAGGTATGTGTATACAAAAGTAACAATATTGTTATTATTTAATAATACATTTTAACGAGCAATACCCTTTTTTAGAAACTTATACAGCTAAACCAGAATACAATATTCTAAATAATAAAATAATATAAAAATTAATATAAAACACCTTTAAATAACTGTTCCAAACAGTAAATTATTTAATTTCGAAGGCGATCAACCATCGAACAGATTGGTTTCACGAATGAAAACATGTGTTCGTTTAATATTTCACAAGGTGTATAGGAAAATTGTTTACCATTGTATATATTATTGTTATTGGAGTGCATGGTTGAACCGACTGGGTCGTGTCGCTTGTGTTTTCCTGATTAGCATGAATAGCGGGCATGCTCCTTGGCAGTTCCAACCCATGGAAATTTGAACGTGTTCTCCGGTACCCTTTACTCGCCTATCTATTCTTAGAACGAATTTTGTACACAAACATTAGCCGCGTTTCGTTATCAGAGCGAAACCCTGTCCGAGATTCGAATCGGTGACGCCTTTTGCGACAAGATTGAGGAAAAATTCTCTACCACTAGATCTTGATGTCTGGACGGAGATTAAATTCGATTCGATCGCACCTGATCGATGCATAATCTTGTAAACAATTAAATCGTTTCTATTTTTACAAATTCCACGCTTCTGATCTGAATTTTCACCATCACTGAGCGGTTCTAAATTTTAGCGATCGTTCGATTTCACGATCGAAGTGGAAATTGGTCGAATATTCGCGACAGATACGAAGATACTGGGTGTTTCTTCTCGAGTAGACGATAGCAGAGGCCTTATCTCGTTCTCGTCGCGATTGTGAGCTTAAGGTTACGAGAGAAGGTTACGTTTTCTTTTCCCTCTTTGGTTTTTACGCTTTCGCTTTATCGAGCGATGTTCAATTTTACACGTACGCGTACAAAAGTACGTCTCGCCTTCTCTCTTTATACGATGTTCCCTATCTAATCAGAGTTTCTGGTCGCGTTGTGAATAAACGTCGGGCCACGGCTTGTTGTCCGCTGGCAGCATCCTCCGAATCGCCGAACAGGTTCGGGAATTTCAGGTTCTCACCGATGTTTTCACGATCTCGTCGCTGAAAATTTGCGTACAGCCTCAAATCAACCTTCAAAATATCGTCCAAATATCACAGAATTACAGAATTCCCTTGGGTATCTCGATGAAAACTGTACAAAGAATCTACTCCATTTTCTTAAACATTTAGTGATCTATAGGTACAAGAGATCAATTTGATTTTAATCCTAGAACAATAAAAGATGGCTGGAACTGTAAAGGAGTAGGGACCTTCGTGTCTGGCCTAGACACGGTTCAATCTACTTAAAAGTAGAATTTACATATAATTTTTCTTGCGATTTCCATTTGAATTCCATTTTTTTCGACAGTCCGTGAGCGAGTGGTCGTCCCTAAACGTCGTCGAATGGATGGCTGCTCTAAATTTGTACCGGTATGCGGATGTTTTCAAATCTAAGGACATCAAGGGCAGTGATCTTCCCTACCTGGACCGGGATAAGCTCTTGGTAAGCTAATTCTCCATAGTTATACAGGATGTTCCGCCAACCCTGCGAAAAATTGTAATGGGAGATTCTACAGGCCAAAATAGAACAGAAAGCAAGAATACCAACGTTTAAAGTTTGCGCCTGTAGATAGGCAATCTGCATACAGCTGGATGCGCTCCATAGTACACATTCGAATTTTTTTCTCTAAAATGGGTAGGATTTGAAGGGTATATCTATTCACCAAAAATTATTGTAATCGACCTCTCCAACTAGAAATAATTTTTTTAGAACGATTTGAAATTTTTTAATTTTGTCGAAAAATGTGTTACATATTCTCCAATTTTTTTCTTGAAAATGGGTAGGATTTCAGGGGTATGTCTATTGACCAAAAATGAGTGTAATTGACTCCCCTAGCTGAAAATAATTTTTTTAGAACGATTTGAAATTTTTTTTTTCGCCGAAAAATTTAGGCACTATCCCATGTCGATTTTTCTTAGAAATACGTTTTTCATTTTTAGTAAGTTTGGTTGACGCTGTACAAAAAAGTTGTTTAATACTTTTTTGTAGATACCCATGGGCTCTACTTCAGAAAAAAATTTCACTAAAATTTATTCACTATTGTAGGAGTTATGGCTGTTTGAAATTTGGGGCATTTGTATGGGGGTTTTCTAACTTTACGGGGTCAAAAAACAACTTTTTCATTATTGTCGGAATTTCTACATATTCTCCATTAAAATACGCGTTATTTGCCTTTTGAAACATTAAAATCCTTCAATCCGTTCAAAAGTTATGACGTTTTTAAGATACACATGAAATTTTCGGAACCACATTTCTGGGCTCAGAGTAGATTTTCGGTAAGGAATTTTTTTCTCGAAAATGCGTAGAAATTCGGAGCTATGTCTATTCACCAAAAATGATTGTAATTGACCCCCGCAACTAAAAATAATTTTTTCAAAATGATTCAAAATTTGTCAATTTCGAAAAATTTCTCCACCTACTCGAATTTTTTTCTCGAAAGTGTGTAGGATTTGGAGGGTATATCTATTCATCAAAAATGATTATAAGGGACCCCTCCAATCAAAAATAATTTTTCCAGAATGATTCCAAATTTTTTAATTTAATTTTTTAATAACTTTTTATCAAAGCCTCAGTCAAGAAATTGATATTCAAGAATCTCCCATTAAAATTTTTCCTTGTGGCTGAACACCCTGTATAAGTACCTCTAACCATTTGCTTGTTTTTAAAAAGAGCCTTTATCGAAACTTCGTCTTCGATCCAGAATAAGGTTAATAAAAATGTATTTCGATGGTAAAATGGATAACACTAATAGTCTGCGAATTTTTCTCCCGTTCCCGCTTAGGTTCGAAAGAGAGTCGCGCATCGAGAGACGTAGAATCCACGGTGTGTGGGGCAGATCGAAAATTCTTTGGCTAGTACTCAAAGGCGACGACCTCGACCGAAGAGTATCTGGACGAAGTTTTCCTTGGCCCGTTGACCCTGTAATTGCCCTGTAGCGTTCGCTGTACCACCACAGTCGCCTCTTTATCTGCTGGGGCCCCTCTTTCGTTCCTTTATTTCTTTCCACAATGACATTTCTCATCGCTTATCGCGAATACTCGAGTACTTTCCGGTCGTACGCGAATCGGATTTTCCTTTTGTTATCTGCGTACGCCCCGAAATCTTCAATTGGAACACATTGTACATTGTTTAACTTCCGTGATCTGTATCAATTATTAGCGTTAAGTATCACTTTCAAAATTTAAAAAAAGTGTACATTAACCCTTAAGTGGACTCCAAATCTCAACAAAATTATTTAATATTGATTTTCACCAGATTGGTAAATGGAGATCAACTTTCAATCCTAAAATTCTTTGCAAGACCAAAACTTCGATTTTAGCCAATTTGTAAGCTACACAACCTAAAACAAGCTTATTAACATGTTTATTGCCAGATCAGAATCGTATAATATTCTGCAAAAGTACAATTTCGATTTTAAACCATTGTAAACTACATAACCTAAAATTTGTTTCTGTACTTATTTTTGTAACTTTGTTAAAATTCGCAAATTCTATTCAAATTCATTTCCCTCGACGTCTTGACTTGAGAATTAATTTTTTTAGTATCGTAGTGGTAAATTCAAAGTCAAAGTTTTAACATTTAAATTTGAGAATTAATTGCTTTACTTCTCCTGTTAAACTAATGGTTAATCCACCTAAGGGTTAAGGCGAACTGTTCTGATAGAAGAACACTTTGTTTACGCTATGGAATTCAGTTAGAATTCTCTACCTGGAGTTTCGGGAGGATTCGTCTCGTTTTAGCCCGCGCTCCGAGTAATAAAAATGTCCTGACCCGTCCGGCCAAGGTTTCCCCGGGCGTAAATCGCATATTACCATGCTAATCGGCTCGTAAATCGTGCCTCGCGTCCTTTCGGCGCGAGAAATCGTCCGGACGCCCCGGGTTCGCCTCGTCCTTCGTCGCGCGGGGATCTCTTCTTCAGCCTCGAATCGAACGACGTTCCTTAGATCCATCTTCGAGGCAATTTAAAACCGCTTTGCCCGCGTTACGTTGCAGTTTCTGGCTCTCTCTCTTATTTTTATCAGTCAGCCTCGAAAAAGTCGATAATTGCCTAATTACCAGGATCGTTAGAAACGTTCCCGGTCGCGGGGGAATATTCCTCGTCGTCAAAGACGTTTCCTGCGTCGCGCAAGACACGCCTCGAGGTTATTGAAAATAAATTAAGGGCGTACTATCTTTGTCGCGGGGCGTCGTCTTTCCTTTACAGACGACAGAGCGTAACAATTTAACGATCGTCTCGCGACACCGTCGCGTATCTTCCACGCTCGGGGCTCCCCCGAAAAAAACCTTCGGGACTCGCGTCGTCTCGCGTGTAATTAACGCTTAACGCGAGCGGGGTGTCAGGTTGATGGATCGCGGCGTACGAGTCGTTATCTCCGTCGCTGATTCCAGCAAAAATTCCACTCCGATCCGTCTCTTCTCGCTGCCCGAGAATTACTTTCATTTTCGTTTTTAAACTACGGCGAAATAAAATTACATTTTATTCACGCTCACGCGTTACACTAACTCCACGGAAATTTTCTTGCGCCTGTAACACGGTTTCTTGGCATTAATTGAAACGTCAACGTCCTCGAAACACTTGTTAGAATTAATATACAGGAAAAATCCTTTGCCACATAGTGTAATCTCCGAGGTTCGTAATCGTTTTCGAGATACGAGCAATTAACGTTTTTACGCGCGACCAGCGTCGTGGATTTTGTGCTATTTATACTCCAGCCAGCTGATCGCGAACATGCACGAGTAATCATACGAGTAAAAATTTTAATTGCCTTCGGAATCTCGAAAAACGAGGATCGCAAATTGGCAAACGATTTTACTAATTATCTTGGAGGAATTCGCGGGTCTCTCTGTTTTGCAGCGTCCTGTACATTTCACTTTCGCCACGCGTTCTTCTAATAATAGCGTTTTGGCCCAGTGCACGTCGTGGCGCCAAGAAACGCGGTAGCAGATATTAAAATAGTCCAGCGGGAAGCATAATTCAGAAAAAAAATCGCCTGCCAACGGATACTGCCGGAAGCGCTCGGAGCGCGTAAAAAACAAAAATAAAGAGACACGTCGAACGTGAGAACCTGGGTTCTCATAATAATTAAGAACAGATTTTGTTAAAAAACCGAACGGTTGGGGACAGGTTCCACCACCTATTGAGTCCCATCGTCCACGTCTCGACGCGTTCACTGTCCAATTTCTCAGCGGTGTATCAAATAGCACGGCGATGTGACCCATATACGTGTCACAGACAGCGAACGCGTTAAAAAACATTGACTTTTTTTTTAAAAATTGCATATTCGTCGTCGAAAAAATGCTCATTTCTGCAACACGTCTTTAGAACGAGCACTAACGCGTTCACTGTCCAAACTCTCAGCGTCGTATCCAAAAGCCTGGCGCTGAGACCCACATACGTGTCACGGACAGTGAACGTGTTAACATTGGAGAATTTTACAGTGTTTCGTTTCCGTTTTTCGCAGAACATGGGCATCAAAGATGAGTTCCATCAGAGAAACATTCTGGCCTGCATCGAGGAGCTCTGTCAGCCCTCTCCAAAGCCTGCGTTACCGGAAGCCACGAGCACACCGGTCACACCGACCACCGCGTCCATCGTGGGCACCGAGTCCGTAGGTAGCAGCGGCGTCGCGACGACTGGCGTCGCGCACACCCTGATACCGCAGAGCTTCAGCGCGCTGGAGAAGTGCAGCAAGTGCCATAAATATCTCAGAGGCCTGCTGCATCAAGGCTTCCTTTGTCTAGGTACGCGACGATCGGTCTCAGTAGTCTCCCGGATCTCTTACAAAGTTGTCTAACGTTTCGTTTTATTTTAGATTGCGGGCTGGTCGCGCACAGGACGTGCTCAGCGACGGGTTTGCCCTCGAACTGTCTGCCGGTCGACTCGGAAAATCGCGCACAAAGATTCACTTCAGGTAATGGTTTCGTTGAGCTGAACAGTGTTTTATAGTGGCGTGACATTGATACGGCGCTGATACACACCCATTTACTACTTCGTTACATTAATGAACGGAACACGGAAACAATTTAAAAATTCAGATGTCTTTTAGTTGTCTATCGGCGGGATTGCATCAGAAACGTGTTCGCTGACGCTCGGGAGAGCTGCTTTGCAATCGTGGTCGGTTATGAAGTTTCCAGCAAGGACACCTTCGGATATGTGTGGCGCATTACTTGTCGTTCTAATATCTGAATAACTAAATATTCATGGTCTTTCGTCGTTCGCCGCCGTGGAGAATGAAAAAAAAAGAACTGTCGTTTAATTCACGCGCGTCTTTCTTCGTCGTCGCGACGCCCACGCGTCACGCTAGCGTGCTCCATCGGCTAGACGATTTTCTCAGAAATTAGCTGGCGATTCCTGACAAAACGATTATACGTCTTCTCTGTAAAAGAGAGCGGGGTTTGACGTAAACTTAAAATTCCGTGGCACCGCCTTCCTCTCGCTGATTTGTCGGGGCACCTTGACGAATATTGAGTTTCCGCGTTTGACCTCCAATCGAACGATACTCGATAAATTTATGCGTATACGGTATCGTCGGGTCCCCGCGTGTTTTAATTCGGACTTTTTGTGCCGTGGGTCTCGCCTCGAGCCAACGGAAGATACGGCGTCGTCGTGAAACAAGACGTCGGCTGTCACGGCCGTAAAAATAAATTTCTTCCTTCTCTCCCCGCCCCCGAGCCACTTGTCTCTCCCTCTCCGCCCACTTCACCTTCTTTCTCTCCCCCCACCTTCCTCTTGCAATGCACGCGTACACGCCTTTGATTGTACAAGTGGCGATGCTACAAAATACGATAGCGTTCATATATTTACGAGATACGCAAACGTCGACTGCGTTCACTGTCCGGTCCCTCAGCGGCCTATCTAATAGCACGGTGGTGTGACCCATATACGGGTCATAGACAGCGAACGCATCGAAAAATATTGATTGTTTTCTGTTAAAAAAAATTGCAAATTCGTCGTTGAAACAATGCCCACTTCTACAACACGTTTTTAGAACGAGCGTTTGACGTGTTCACTGTCCAAACTCTCAGCGGCGTATCAAATAGCACGGTGATGTGAGTCATATACGGGTCACAGACAGCGAACGTGTTGATAAATCTTGACTTTTTTAAAAAAAATTGCATATTCGTCGTCGAAACAATGCGCATTTCTGAAACACGTTTTTAGAACGAGCACTAACGGCGTTCACTGTCCAAACTCTCAGCGGCGTATCAAATATAGCACGGCAATGTGAGCCATATACGGGTCACAGACAGCGAACGCGTTGAAAAAATTGATTGTTTTTTTGTTAAAAGATTGCAAATTCGTCGTCGAAACGTCCAATTTCTCAGCGGCGTATCAAATAGCACAGCGATGTGACCCATATACGACTCACGGACAGCGAACGCGTTACTGGAATGCATCTAACAAAAACTGACGAATTTTTTCAGCAACGAAACTCTAATTTATACGGTCAATTAACTTCGTCTTGCGCCTGTTTGGTCGATAGAGCTGCCTCCGAACAAATGAAAATTTATCAAGGAACGCTCGTTGGAAAATTCTCTCGCCATGGTTACTGGCTGGATATTTTAAGTATCCCCGGTTGTCGTAGCGATAAACATTGCTATACACGACCGATCCGCGGTGGGCGTACGCCCCGTAACACTGAAAAGTAACCTCCTTTGTTCCCTCGTTACTCTCTAAACGCTTGATTGTCCTTTGCAGTGTTCGGTCTTGGCCTGTGCTCGCAATTCGACGCATCCACGCGCCCGGCGCCGGTCTTGGTGGAACGGTGCACTCGTGCCTTGGAGGAGAAGGCGTTCGCGGACAGCACATTGGATTTGTACAAAGTTTACCACAGCAGCCCCCCGAACGAGCAAACGTCGGAATTGCGACAAAAGTTGAACGAAGGTGCAAACAATTACCACACCTACACGCTGTTTACACTTCAAGCAAATTTTACAATTTTCTTACGATTATTCTTTGGGTTTTGCAGACGTCTGCCAAGCTGATTTAAATTCGTATACCCCACAATGCATCGCGAGCGTCCTGAAGAAGTTTCTACGGGAATTGCCCGACCCTGTGATTCCCGTACAGTTCTACGATAGGTTTATAGAAGCTTCGAGTAAGTGTCAGAGACAAATACGGAACAGATTCTTTTGGAGTAAATTAATTTACAATCTTTTTTTAGATATTAGAAATGACGAGCAGTGCGCGGCTCGTTTGGGACAGCTGGTCGCCGACCTTCCCGACCACCATCGCAGCACCCTGTTCCATTTGATGGCCCATTTCTGTCGAATCTGCCAATTACAGCACGGGAGAGGGTACACGGAACCCCCCACCATCCTCACTCAAGTCTTGTGCCACATTTTCCTTCGACCACCTTGGGAACGAATTCTGTAAGCGCCCATAGAAATTATCAGTCAATCAATTTCCCATTCAGTACATTTTCACATCTATATTTTTTGCTTAAGACAAATCGTTCACAATATCGAGGCGCACATACGGATAATGGAGATGCTGTTGCTGCACGGCGAATGGAACGAAAGACTGCCCCAGTTCGCCAGTCCACCTCAGCTGCCGCCGCGAAAGGTCTCGAGACCGCAGTTTCCGGTTTTAGACGCGTACTCCGTTCTGGAGGAAGACAGTTCCATGGACCGATCGTCCTCGTCGAACACGGACAACAAAGAGCAACAGCAACCGCTCAGGTTATTCACAATTGAACACTAATGGGGAACTAGGAAAATAAAGATGCAGGGGGGAATAAATTCGTGGATTTTTAGAACGAGTCCTAGACCAAATTTCAGGCCTGAAATTAAATGTGTTACTGTTTCCCCAATAGACCACGCACGCTCCAGGAGGCTGAGTGGTACTGGGGAGACATCACCAGGGACGAGGTGAACGAGAAGATGATCGATTCTCCAGATGGCACCTTCTTGGTCCGCGACGCGTCCTCCAAGGGCGGCGAGTACACTCTGACGTTACGCAAAGGCGGGACCAACAAGCTCATCAAGATTTGTCAGAGGAACGGGAAATACGGCTTCTCGGAGCCGTACAACTTCCATTCGGTCATCGAGCTAGTGGACCACTACAGAAACTGTTCCTTGGCGCAGTACAACTCGACCCTGGACATTAAACTCTTGTACCCAGTGTCCAGGTTTCTACAAGTAATATCAAAAAGCAACTTTCATAAATTTTAACGGGAACACCTCTTTTAACTCGTTGTTTGATCGATCTCTTCTTCATCAGGATGACGAGATAGCGAGTACAACCGACATGACGAACGTCGCCCAGAAATACGTGGAGCTCGACAAAGACATCACCCACGCGTTGACGGAGTACAAGGAATTTTCTGAATTGTACAACAGAACGGCCTACGAGGTGCAGCTGAAGCGACAAGCGTTGGAAGCTTTTGCAGAGGCCATCAAGATGTTCGACGAGCAAATGAAGCTGCAGGAAAAGTTCCAGAAGGAAGCACAACCCCACGAAATCTCAACGTAAGCAATCTCATTAAACCTTCCTTAAATAATTTAACTCATCTTGATGATCGTGGTTGCAGTTTAACCGACAATGCTGACTTGTTGAAACGAAGACTGAAATCTTTAGAAGATAGCAAGGATCAATTGGACCGTAGCTTGAAGGAACAGATAGCGTACAACAGGACGCTCGAACGAGAGATGCACAAGTTGAAGCCTGATCTACTGCAGCTCGTACGCCAGAGGGACAAGCATCTAATGTAAGTCTAATTGTTTAATATATGCCCAGTGTAGCTATTTAAAAATTTAAGTCTAACTCATTCACTGCCCGTGACCCGTATATGGGTCCCAGCCTCATGCTTTTAGATACGATGTCAAGAAGCCAGACAGTGAACGCGTTGAGTAAAATAATTGCTGTGTTTTTAGATGGTTGAAGAAGAACGGCATGAAACAGAACAAGATAAACCAGCTAATGCTGAACCATTCGCACTCGAACCCCATGCTGGGCGACTTGGGCTACGGGGATCTCCAAGAAGTGGACTTGGAAGTTCATTTCGACGAGAAGACGTGGCTGTTCCTGGAGTGTTCCCGTTCAGACGCTGATCATTTGCTCGTCGATCGGCCAGAAGGTACCTTCCTCGTGAGGATATCGAGGACCGGGCAGTACGCGCTGTCGATCATGTACGAGATCTATGATTCTTTTTATTACTGATTTATCTTTTGGAATCGTTTTGGAAAAGTGAATTGTTCTTGCAGGTGTAATGGTACGGTGAATCATTGCATAATTTACGGCACTGAGCGCGGTTTCGGGTTCGCTGAACCGTACAACATCCACAAGAGCCTGAAACATTTGGTGCTGCATTACGCTCAGAACTCCCTCGAGGAGCACAACGAGAGTCTGAGCACGACTCTAGCCTATCCGGTTTTCGCTTCGCCCGCGGCGCTGGCGCAGCTGCAGGCGCAACAGATGCAGCTGCAGATGCAGATACACACGCAGAATCAGTCGCAGACCGCGCGTCCTGCCGACAACCAGCACATCGCGCCGTACACGTAATGCTCGCGCGGCGGTCCACCGACGTGGCCAAGTATTTAGAATACACCGTACACGCGTGTACGTTTGCAAGTTTTCTTGGTTGACGCCAAGCCACGACCCACGGTCGATCCCCCAGAAGATGTTTCTTTTGGTGTCGATCGCGCGACCTCAACGAAGCACAGTGGTATCGATAAAAAGAAAAACAGCGGAATCTACGGTCATAGAACGATCCACGACGATCGACAGGACCGAAACTGCATCGCGTCAAATTAATTTCTCAGCGTCCTGTCGACGACGAAAGAGACAGTTTTTTCTTTTATTTTTTTTTTCTCCCCCTCCCCCAAACTTTTAGCAACTCGCTGTCAAATCTATTCTCCCGAGGGAGGATCGTACAATTCCGAATTGCACTCTTCGATGCTCGATCGAATAGGTCAGAATAGCAAAGAATAAAAATCAGGGTTGTCGAGAAATTGAGAAAAGATATTTCTGACTTGTTCGACGTGCTCTTTTTCGCGAATGCGTTACCTCCGTTTTTTGCACGAGCATCGTTTATTGACGATCTACGGGAGCTGGATCTTCAGTGATATTAGAATATAATTAGCATTGCATGGGGGCGAGCCTCTCGAACACGGTTCTTTTTTTTTTTTTTTTTTTTAAGCAATTTACAATGATTCTCTTTGTAGCGTTTTGGAGAAAGAGAAGAACAGAGGCTCGGTGTCGATTTTTCAACTATGGCTCCCCGTACGATCGCGAAAACGTGTGCTCGTAGTTCACAACGAAATTCCACCGCGGAGGCGCGCGTTTAGAGCCTTTTTAAACGATGTTCACGATTTCAAAGATTTGCTCGAGAATCGTTTCTCGAATTAAAGCGAACGTATTTGTCTGTGATTTCGGATTGCCGACGCGAGAGATATATCGTGTGTTTATTGTTTTCCCCCTATTCGTTCTTAAACGATGTTTCACATTATTTTTAATTTTTTCATTACTAGAAAGCGCGTACGATTATTTCAAGATGGCGTCGTACGTACACTATGGATGGATTTGTGCAACTCGCGACCGTATATTACGGGAACGATGTTCGTAATTTTATTGTTTAAATCGCAGTTTTTTCTTTTTTTTTATTTGTCCAAATCGCGCGTCGCGTCTTTGAGTCACGCGTGAAAATACGTGGCAATTTTTGATGTTCGTGGTATTGTTTTGGGTGTTCGATTTTCTCTACCATTTTTATGGTAGAATTTGTAACGTTCGAGCCCAAATAAAACGCAGATACACGATTTTTACATTTCGTTACCGACGTCGTGTTTGTATCGATGAATAATAATTTTTATTATTCCATTAACGAGATTCGGGAAGTGAGCGCTGCTCAAACACGAGTGTATCGATCGCGAATTTTCAATACCATCGATTTCTTTTTTTTTTTTAAAGAAAAATTGCTACGTATTTTTTTCTGCAATTCGCGTGTGATTTGGTGTGTTTCCCGCTTCGTAGATCGACACTCACGCTGTACTCGAATGATCTCAAAGGTGTTTCCGTCGATCGTTGGGGCGGACCGGAGCAACGAAAAGAATTTTCGCGACTTTTGGTAGCGGAATTTTTAACGAAAAGGGCTCGTTCTCGAGAAATTTTGTGCATTACACAGCGGTCCGTAATCGCAAAAGTGTATCGAGAGCGATCCACAGAGGGGAAATATAGTGAATGGAGAAACACGAAGATACTTTTGGTTGTCAAGGTTCCCCCACGCGATCCACGCCATCACCGTAGTCAGAAAAAACGAATCCAAGTCGATTGAACGAGTGAGAAAGAATCTCGAGCTGGAAACGGTCCTCTGAACCGCGACGTCGCGTTATTTTAATCAATTACACGCGACAAAAAAATGAAACGACGTGGATGCATGTGGAGGGGGGATGAAGGTGACGCGTTGCACGGAGAAAAAGGCTCGTTGCTCATCCTAATGGCTTCGAATTACTTAGATTTAGGTAGCGTAGGTTTTTTATACGACAACAAAAAAAACACAAAAAAAAAAAATTAAAAAAAAAATAAAAATAGTGTCTCGGCGCTCGATTGGATTCTATATATTTTGTGATCGTCCGATCGATCGTTTAACCGTCTTCTTTCGCGTCGATGTCGGTTTTGTTCGAAATTCAGAAATTTCTCAATTCAGAAAATGGCGCGAAGGTTCGACGAAGACGCAAGACTCGCGCGGAGAACTCGTGGACAAAGATCGCGAATGTTTTCGAATTTTAGGAACGAGTCGAGATAATAGAATCTTCGACGAGAAGAAATATAATTTTCCCCCCCCAATGGACGCGAAACGCCACGTTTCGATCGACAAGATCGTCTGTCCTCGAGTTCCTCGGCGAGTCTTGCTTGTCAAGAAATAACACACACACACACACACACACACACACATACACGAGAGATACAGAGATGCATAATGTGTAATGTGCAATTAAACACGACACGTTTGGTGACGATGTAATACATTGAACGATGAGAATATATGGAAAAGAAAATGGAAGGGAAAAGGTGCGCGTGCGCGCACGCACGCGCTTTTAATTTCGAAATAAATCTTTAATTATTTATAATATGTACGGTACGGTACGTTATATTCATATATATATCTCAAAATCGTGATATGTACTGTTCAAGAGGCGGGGTCAACGAACGTTTGAGAAATTGTATTCGCTGGTAGATCGTCCGTAGATCTTTTTGTAACGAACCTTGGAACGTGTCTATTTTTCAGTTCGAGAGGAATTTTAGGTGGTTAGTGTTAAGGTCTCAGCGTCGAGAAGGTGCTTTGGAGCAACGCTGGGTGCTCGGTATTTAGGGCTAAAACGTGTGTGCAACGAATAAAATGATGCGTGCGTGCGTGCTTGTGCTGAATCACAAAGATTGAAACGAAGATATTTGACAGAAAACGAAGTTGAAATTACTGGAACGCATTGAAGATAGTTTTTGTTGAAGTCGATAGGTAAAAGTTTGCTCGTTCTTCGTGTGCTCGAGCTGCAATTATTATACTCTCACATTGCTTTGGATATATTACTTTTATACTGATTTATTAGGAATAGTAATTAGCGTTGATTTTAAGATTTATTTTAAACGCATTCGAAAGATTTAAATGAGGTGCAATGCTCGAGCATATCAAGAACGTTTATGTATTGACTTTTGAAAAATAGCGTGTCCTTGAAAACGAGTGGACTGTTTGTTAGGCGTGTGTTGGAGGCAGAGTGTCCAAAATTTTGTAAACAATTGCAGAGTACTCTTTTCCTCTTTCTCTCTCTCTCTCTTTCTGTTTCTCCGTTGCATAGAAAGGAACGAAAACGATTTGTGGAGGTCGATGAGACAAAGTTTCTCTTTTTTATCGCCTCCACCCACGCACAAGCTAGAAAGAGACCCCAATGATCTCCCAAATACTGTTCTCTCTCTCTTTCTCTCTCTCTGAGCATTGTTTACAAAATTTTGAGCAGTCGTTGCACTCGACGCGCGCCTTTTGTAGCATAATAAAAAATCGTACACGGTGATCTTCGACGCAAAATGCAATGTATATACCCCCCGAGTCAGTGTGAAGCTGTTTTTGTATAGAGGACAGGAGATTTGGGAATTAAACGCGGACTTCTCGGCAGGACCGGTTCGACGAAGCCTCAGCGGAACAATTATCGCGACGATCGTTCGATTCGACGAACGGAAGGACACAGACCCGGAAGGAGCGACAGAATCACGGGATTCGATGGACAGAAAACTTTTTTGGGGAGACTGAGAGAGAGAGAGAATTTTGAAAAGAAATGACGTGTAAAAGTTGCCTTAGCTTTTGTACAAGAGGTGTGAGAGAGAACGAAGAAATTGCAGAGAAAAAGAGAGAAGGAGAGAAAGAGAGAGAGAGAATGCATGTGGAAAGAGGAGAATTGTAGAGATTTCTACGGGTGCGATACGTCGATTCGTCGAAGCTGGATTCTATGACGAAAGTGATAAAAGACGGTTTAATCTAGCATTAATATCCCCTGTACGGCTCGCAACGAAGAGATTTTGCACGAAAAAAATACATTGATAATCAAATCGGTATCGATAAAGTTCGATTGTATCGCTGCAATTCCGTAATAGTAATAGTTAATAGCGATTCTTGTATTCTCTGGTCGCGGTCGGTTTCTCGAGGAACTCTCGTCGGGAAATTTTTCTACGGACGACAGATTGGCGCGCGAGCTAGCGGCCGGAATATTAATAAATTTTTCTAACATTGGCAGCAATATTTTGGCGATTTTTTATTAGTTAGGAGGCAAAACTCAGGTTCCAGTTACTATGAGAATATTTACCTAACGAGCTGTCGTAACAGAGATGTAATTTAAGGTTTACGATACACATATACGTCCTTATTGCGAAACCAATGAAACGTGGATTCGAATTCCTCTTTTTGTAAACGACTTTTTAAAAATAGACGCCAATAGGAGGTAGACGTATAAGGGGAGAAGATTCTTTTACGAACGAATCCTTGTGTCTGCGATAAATATTTATCCCAGGCACAATAATTTATTTGTTAGAGAATTGTTCTCGACGCCGCTGTATGCCAGAATCGTGGCCAGACCGGGAGTATTTGTTCACGGGTGCGTGCGCTTGGTAGAGGAATGGCTGAGAACGGGATACGATATTATATAAATAAGAGAATCGTGTAATACTCATTGCAATTTACCCATTGATCGCGTTTAAGTCCAGATCTCTTCGGGAAAGGACGATTCGTTAGACGTGTGTTGCTGAAATGGGCATTGTTTCAACGACGAATATGCAATTTTTAAAAAAAGTCAATGTTTTTCAACGTGTTCACTGTCTGTGATCCGTATATGGGTCACACCACCGTGCTATTTGATACGTCGCTGCGAATTTGGACAGTAAACGCGTTAGTACTCGTTCTAAAGACGTATTACAGAAATGGGTATCGTTTCGACGACGAATTTGCAATCTTAACAAAAAACAGTCAATATTTTTCAACGCGTTCGCTGTCTGTGACCCGTATATGGCTCACACCACCGTGCAATTTGATACGCCGCTGAGAGTTTGGACAGTGAATGCGTCTACGTTTGTTCTAAATAAGCTCAGAGTCTATCTCGATGCGCGAAACAGTGGAAAATGGCGTAAATAACGACACGCGTGGGATCCACCCTCTGTTTTGCACCGTATTGCGTTTCCATTCGAGCGTGCAATATTTGCACAGAGCTCTACGAGAGCTCCCAGAGACTCCATGCGTTACTTTCGCGTTAAAATTCATGTCACTTCGTGGAAAATGATTACTTCAACGAAATATTGCTCCAGATCCTCAGCCACGTCTATCGTTGGGGGACGCGTACGCGATAAACACGATTTCAAGACGATTTCGTCTCACAGATCCATGAAACTTCTTAAAATCACGCTAGGACGGCCGATAGATTCGCGCACGTCCATTTTTGGATCCTTGCCAGTCTTTGTTTGTTGTATTACGGATCGTGTAAGACCGCGAGTGTGTGTCGGTGGGCATTGGGACGCCTTTGTGCGAGCGAGAAACGTATGCGAATGCAATATTAATCGTGAATCATTGATTAACGTTTAGTGTATGGGGGGGATCGTATTTTGGGCGGCGAGACGAAGCAGAAAGGGTTTCAGAATTGCAGATAGAGCTGAAGCGAGAGGGGTGTGTGTGTGTGAGTGTGCAGCGAGGGGTTCGAGGTGTTTAAAAAGTCAGGATCGATACACGATGATTACGTTATTGACGAATGTATGCTGTCCCACTGTGATAAAACTTTTGTTTTTGCATGTAAAATATAATATTATTGTCGTAAGTAACGAGGAGTAAGAAGAAAAAAAAATAAAGCATATATTATGGTGCATATATATAGATGTATGCGCGATCTTAGAACGATCTATGTATGTACCTATATATCTATATATGTGCAGGTACACATCACACGTGAGCATACATACATTGTGATCGAGCGTGCACGCGGTAAAAAAGAATGGTGCATGCCCGCTACAAAGAATAGAAATTTTTTTTTTTTTTAGTTATCGAGTCCGTACCGCCTTCATGCGCTTGCGACGAACGCGAGACGATTGTTCGTTGCTCGACGAAAAGATGTTCGTTTCCCTGAAAGCGATGTTCACTTTGTTCGAGAGTTGTAAAGCCTTTTTAATCGCGGTGTAACGAAGAAAAAGTATGGAAAAAAAAAGGAGAAAAAAAACCGTAACGTTTAAGATGCGCCACTCGCGTTCGACGAGAAAGAATTGGAATTGTGTGTTCGAATATGTGTGTGTGTGTATCTGTGATTTTGACGAGGCTAACAAAGGGAGCGAGCGTTTGATATTCGATGAAATTTTACACGCGTATAAATTTACTTTATATTAGAGTGCGAAATTTATGTTCGTTTTAATCGGTACACGTGGAATTTTGATGAATTTTAGGGCGTCTCTCAGGTGCATGAAAACCGGCGGTGACAATGAATGTTTACTCGCTTTTTCGCGCAACGGTCATCCTCATATTGTACCGTTTATTTGGTAGTTCTACCATGTAAAACCATTTATATTTGCATATGATTAATATGTTTTACTTACAACGTTCTGGCATTTAATTTAGATCCGTCTGTGGCCCTCCTTTCGCTCCTGAACACTCCAGATACTTAATCACAGATCCGACAACCAGCTCTGCGAACTCAAGATGTTAGAAAATCATCGACAAGATCCTCAAGATACCTCACATAACAGCTCCAGGAAAATCAGATCAGATACTCGAGGCACGTTAAGGTTTACAATCCCCAAATCTCATTTTACCATTCAATTTACTTATTAAGATCTTAAAACATAATTGTAGCTTTGCACTGTCGAGTCAAGCCACCCTGAGGCACCATAAATCATCAGTTTCAGCGAAGAGTCAGGATTTGTACCCTTTATTTGGTACCTCCACCCATGTTCAACCATTTATACTTGCATATGATTAATATCTTTCACTTACAAGCTTTTAATACTTAATTCAGATCCGTCTGCAGCTCCCTCTTCGTTCCTGAACACTCCAGACACACACGAATCCAACACCCAACTCTGCAAACTTAAGACAAGACAGCAGTTCCAAGAAAAATAGCAAAAACATATCAAGGCACGTGTTAAGGTTCAGAATCCATACAACTAATTCTACCATTCAATTTACTCATCAAAATCCTGTTAAAACTCAATTCCAGCGTAGCACTGTCCCAGTCAAAGTGTCCCGAGGCAACTAAAAATTGTTGCCTCGTTGCAAAGGAAACGATACAACGAACAGAACGGTAAGCTCATTCGGTAGAAAACATCGCCTTCCAGGTTTGATGGTTCTGACGCGCAGCGTACGGTTGTCGACTCTGTTTCAGGAAGCAAATTGCACCCAGGAATTGGAACTAATGCACGAAGTTGCAAGCGCTGGGAAAGTTACGAGGTTCGATTCCGCCGCCGGTATTGGCAGCCGTGGAATTACAGGAAAGAAACCACGCGCGCGCGAATCGCGTGTCCCGACGCGACAGACGTTAGCATTGTTGCTAGAAAATCGCTGGCGGAGTCGGTACTCTGTCTGTGTGTGCGTGTGCACCCTACGCGGGACGAAACAACGTTCCCGATTGGCAGTGTGCATCGCGTAGCGAGCTTGCGCGCCGCATTGCACGGCTGCAGTCGAGTCATTATGCAGGTACTGCCTGTCACTTCTGCTCGCCGTAACCGCAGACCGACGTTGACTATCGTCGAGCTCCCTATGCATTCGATCCTCGACGGTTTCGTCGCCCGATATCGGCGGTGAACCGCTGAATATATTACATCTCGTTTAAACCTGATTTCTAATGCATCCCGTAGCGTCTGTGAGGGCTACACTGATTCCAGACGACCAACCTTATCGATTCTTTTCCTCCGAATTAGCAGTCAAGTATACCAAACAAGGCATAAGAAGGAAGTAACAAATTTTCTATGAACAATTTTTTATTTTACACTCCCCCGTCTCAGCTTGTGTTTTTTTTTCCAGAGGCTTTGTGAGGAAATCAACAATCAAGCCTTTCGTTTTTTTTTATCGATGCCCACCGTGTCGAAAGAGAGATTTATTCAATCAGAATAGGAATAGAATCCCAAAAATATAAAACTGAACAATTTCCCCGGGAATTCTATATAAAACCATATGAGACTAATTTATTCAGAGCAAAAGTTTCTCCATTCTCGGAACGTTACGTCTCTTTTGGTTTTGGTCTCATTGTCTTCCAGCCACGCGGTAATTAACGTCGTAATAAGCCTTATATTCGTTCAACAATCGACTGTGCACCCTGTCCGATTACTCGCATAACTGCTGACTCGAGTTCCCCCGCAACCGACGCAGCTCGTTCGACCATACGCGAAGTTCCGTCGAATCATTATCCGCTCTGACCACTGCCGGAGTTTATTCTACCGACTTCTGCTCGAGTAGCAATTTTCCCGCTGCTTCGAACCGTGCAACTCGTTAGAGCAGTCCGTAATCTGCGTTCAAGCGTCTTGAACGTATTTATTTATGCGTTTGCAATCGTTCCCGCGGTTGCTCCGTTACGCTCGCTTTGTAATCATCGCCCGTGACCGTCGACTGTGTTCCGATTAAATAATTACGCGTCGTTATAAACACCCATTTAATATTGCGCGTCAATATTAGGCCGGTTCTATTTAACGCGACCAATCGAATCGCGATTACGCGCCGTCGGGCCAGCGACCGGGTTTTTCGCCACCGGCGGAATATCGGATTTTCGAAACGTCGCAATGGGAATTAATAATACTGTTTGCCGCAGCATTATGCGGCGCATCGCGATCGTTCGTTGCACCGTGAATTTCGGCAGTGGTCCCTTCCTAATCGATGACGTTCGATCCGCGAACGACGATGGCGACCACTCCATTACGTTGCTATTTGGTAATCGAAAACATTTCATTTTCCATAAACCTTCATCGAGCAACTGTCTATGACGATAGGGTTTTAATTCGACAGTGGTCGGGGGCGGGTCGAGCAATTTCAAAATGTACAAAACTCCATTATCTGCGTAAAAGGTCGAAAACAATTGGTCGAAAGTTTAAACAGTTGTCAGAGCTGTCCCGGAGATGCAGAGGCTGGGGGTCGGCGGATATTTCTCGCGTAACCGAGCGAAAGGAGGTCAGGAACGACGCGTACGACGGACGAGGGTCGTTGGCGGGCCTGTATGTGCGTGGGGGGCTGGCGGCGAAGGGGTGTTTAACCGTTCGGAGGCACTCGGGTCCTCTCGGGCGTCGTCGCGGTTTCGCGGTGCGCGGAACTTCCGCGCGCACGTAGCGCGTGGGCAGGATCGGACAGGCACGAACAGGTTCGGGCAGGTGAACATGCGGTCGACTGTAGAACACGTTTAGTAGTGGACAATGAACTAATTAATCTAGAGTTGTACATTGATATTGGATAGAGTCGAAGTCAGGAACAAGGCACGAAGAAAATGCGCGGTAATAGGAAGAAGCACGTGGGGCGCGGATTACACGTTAGATGTTCGCTCGCGAGACTCTTTTTAACTATCAATAGCGCGCGTTCCGTTAAATATCGCGCAGGTGTGCGTTCCCCAGCGATGGTATATCGGCGCCTGAGCGCGGTTTGACTTGCGTTCGCGGGGTGGCGACGCGTGCAGGGTCACGACAGGTATGCACAGGTATATACGGCCATGCTTCGTGACGGTCTCGCGCACCCTTTCGCGCAGAAGCTATCGCGCGTAAGACTACGTGGGGTCGAGGGTAGGAGCTAAAGCAGGTAACGGGTCCGTGTGGGAGGTTAGGGTTGACGCTGGGGGGTGGTAGCCAGGAGATGGTGGGCGAGGGGACGAAGGGGCGAGGCGGGTAAAGGCGCGCGCGGACGTCGGTCTAACGCGGTGCGGCGTAGTCGACATTGGGCGTCGGGCCACAGCGGCGTCGCGGTCTCGGCTCGGTAGCACGCTCGGAACGCGGAACACGCGCGCGCCAAGTGTGCGACGGGGACGCGACACGAGGAGTCCAGTGCTCGACGCGACCGTTTCAAACCCCCCAACCCTAGCACGCACGTCCGAAAGTTTGAATTCTCGCGAGTGATACGTTCCCCCGGGTAAAGGCGTCTCGCGAGTGATCGGATATCGTGAATAGCGAGGTCGCTTGCCGGTGAGGATGTCGTCGGGCCCGTCGGGACTCGGTTAAGACGCACGCGATCGCGGTACAAGTGTTCGAGGATCTCTCGGGGTTAACAGTGCGTTCGAGCGCGCGCGACGACGGTGAACCGTCGGTGGAGCACGCCGGACGCGGTGAAGACGACCGTTCGGGTTCGTCGTCTCGATACGAAGGTGGAGGAGGCGGCGGCGCACGATGAGACGGACGACGAGAGGATGTCGCGCGGACGTCGCGGGATTCGTCGTCGTCGTCCGCCTGCCCCTCGACGAAACGAGGCCCGGGATAGCCGCGACGGGGCCCGCCACGCGCTGACGGGACCGGGACCCATGGTGCGCGATGATCTGATGGGACGAGTCATGTCCCGCGTCCTAGGGACCCTGCCGGCGCGCTCGACGCTCCTCACGAGCCTCGCCGCGGCCCTCTTTGTACTCTCCTGCTGCTCCAGGTGCGCCCGCACCAGCGAGTTCCCCGAGAGAGAGTGTTGCGACCTGATATTCCCCATACCGGAGCCCACGGGAAGATCCACCTCGGCGCCCACTCCCACGGGCAGAAGCGGTGAGCAAGACTCGACAGAGATTTATTAGTCCGCTTTGGTGCTGCTCCAAAGTGTCGACTGATCGAAATCGATCGAGAAAACGTTGCCGCGTTTATTCGAATCCACGCGTACGATGGTCCCTCCTCGTGTTTACTTTTAAAGACGTTCGTTCCGTTTTATGGAACAACCAGAGAGGAAGCCAATAATTGGACGGGGGAGCCAATAGCTGTACGTACCCGGTATATATCTCGGCCGTATTTCGCTAGCCACCGCGTCAGCTATTACAATTTCCGTCGAGGGACGAGAGGATTATTAATTCAATTAGGATCGGTTATTAATTCAACAACGACGGTTTATCGTCGCTAGTTTGCGGCGCGGCGCTAATTTAAGCGACAAAACGAGCGCGTAATCGAGTTTGCCCGCTTCCAGCGCGCCCCGCGCTAGCCTCGAGTCTTCGTTCGGTTTTCGGGGGCGAAATGGCTTTTAAACTTCCGGGGGGGGAGGTTGTTTCGCTCCGGTGAATCGTTTCTTTCGCGTATCGGGAACAACATTCGCCGAGGGTTGTTGGCCGAGGACGCCGGGTGTCTGCGAACATTTCGACCTCGCGGGGGATGAACTACGATCCAGGTCGACCGCGATCGAAGGTTATCTACCGCGTCTATAGCCCCGGAGTAAGTTTCAGGAAGTCATTTATACCCCCACTGAATTCCTCGTGGTGGCGAAATATCGCGTACGTGCTCGACGAGTGTTAATAATGAAAGATGATCAGCCCCATCGACATTTTATATTCCTCTATTCCGTTCCACCCGGTGAAAGGTCGAGTATCAATGTCTCTTTATCAATTTCGAGGGTCAAAGGTAGCCATCTGAAACGTTTCAAACGCGTCCTGAAACTGCATAGAACAGAAGGCGACGGTCCGTCGCGAAGGAATCTTCCTTCAAAGATTCTCCAAGAGCCCGACCCGTCCTACCGCGGTCCCCTGGCTTAAATGTCGCGAGTCAAAAAATAAAAGAATACGGGAAAAGACACGCGGGAAGGGACGGAAGGCGGTTGCCCGAGAAAAAGAAGCCGCTCCGGCTCCGAGAAAGAGAAAAGAGGGGAACAAGAAGTGGCCCATTGACGTTAAATCGCACGGTGAGGCGCTTTTAAAGGTCCTCGGTGTTTTCGTGCGACCTACTTTTTGCCGAGCCGCAACGTAACGAGGTTGCTTTCGAATAAATTCCAAGTATCTTCGAGCCAGCGTTGCGTTCCCGCTCGTTGCGTCCACGAATCGGGGATTTTTTGGCAGGGCTCGATGTTCCCCGGCAAACGTTAGGCACATTGGCCCTGTGCTGTTCCATTTCTGCGCAAAACAATCGCCGAGTGGTCTCCTGATGTTTGCTCAACGATTCCCGTGCGAACTTACCGACGAAAATGGTAGATTTACCACTTTACCGACCCATTAATCGGTCGGTATGGTAATGCAGGGTAAATCGCTAGCGGTCGGTAAGTGGTTACCGATCACAGGTTGCGTCGGTAACGAAACTGAGTCGGTAAATGTATTCGATAGAGCGTAATCCGTAATTTAAAGTATCGCGTATCGTTGTATACCCTGCTTTTCGATCGAATCGCGCAACGACGTGGGGGGAAAAGCGTTGATATTTATGGTACGAGCCGTGATTAATTAATCGCGGATGGAAGATCGAATATATCGCAAAGTACAATTTATAACCTCGCGATCCGTTCGCCGGTATCGGCCGCTATTTATAACCGGCGATTCTGGTAAGGATTTAATTCCGGGGCAGCGTACTTTGTACGAACATCGATGCAGTCAATTTGTAAAAGAGAACCAGCCCCTCCTATTATCGAATTCCAAATTGCCAGAGCAAATAGATAAATCCACGCCTTTGTACAACCGATTAGTATCGCGGGATTATCATTTCGATGGTCCATCGGGGTCCACCCATCGTCTTTCTATTTTACTTCGCTCGACCTCGTTTCTCCTCGAACCGGCCATCTTCGCTGCGTCAACCCTTGGAGCCGTTATTACTACTTGTATCACGGTAAAAGGAACACCTTAAATTACGCGGATCCTCGTCAAAGAAATGACTAATTAATTGGTCGGCAACCTCGGGTCTCCTTGACCCGATACGCGGTTCCCTTTGAACTCGACCTATCGTTCGCGACCTCGATCGTAGAAACGGTTCCAGCTTCTTGATCTTCAGCGTACCCTCCTTTCTAACTGATTGTAATAACAATAGTAACGGTATCGTGCCGTGTCCACACGCAAATACGATTTAATCCGCGAGGAGGAGTCGATTGTTGAAATTTCCGTGATAATTTCTCGAAATTTAATTAAACGATTGCAACTCGATCGAAAGACTCTGTCGTGTATCCAGGACGTGCTTTCTACATATTTCATACGGTTTTCAACGGAAAAACAGACACGAGGGCCCCAGGGTCGCTTAATCCCCCAAGTATTTGCTGTCGAGGCTCGAAATTAATTCCACGATCGTTAATCACGCAGAGATGACGTTCCACGCGCTACGAGGAATTGACTTTCAACGTCGTCTCGCGAGGAGACGCCTTGGAATTCCTACCTGCAGTTTCTTCGTAGCTCGAGCCCACGCGTTTCGTCCTTTTTCGATGCATTTTCCTGGGCGAAGTCATTTTTCCTGTTTCCGTTGCAATATCTCTGCCAGCATTCCTACCTCGGTCATTTTTGCAAGTTTATACAGAGTAAAATGAAATGAAAATTTGCACCTCCATTTTATTAATTTGCTTCGATGATTGACTTGCGTTCTTTTATTGTGGTCTATTTAGTTCGTCAATATTTTTGAAAAATATTTCAACAACTTTGAACGTCCATTTTCTGAATTTGCTTTCAATGATAATTTAGTTGGTATTAACTGGTATTCTTTTCCCGTCTGTTCTATTTTTGTTCCCGTTTGGCGCAAGTTTATTTTAGCGAGACGTAAATCACAATTTGCATGGCGAAGCAGCATCTATTAAAAGACTCGCTAAAATCGTACTCTCGTCTAATTAGACAGATTTTAACTTGGCCTCAGACACAGGTCGACGGTCATCTTTTTTAACGAAATTCGCGTTACCACCGCGCGTGATTAGCAGAAATGGAAATTAGCTGAATCGCGTCTGACCCTTGTACGCTCTACTTTCGAGCTACGCCGGTAGAAAAGCACGCTTATGGTCAGCCACGCTAAATGCATCTCGCGATTCCCCTGGCGCTTCTAACGTTTACATACAGGGTGTTCGGCCATCCTTGGAAAAAATTTTAATGGGCGATTTTAGAAGCCAAAATAATACGAAAATCAAGAATATAAATTTCTTGACTAAGGCTTCGTTAAAAAGTTATTAATAAATTTCAAATCGTTCTGAAAAAATTATTTTCGGTTGCAGGGGTCAATTACAATCATTTTTGGTGAACAGACATAGCTTCGAATTTCTATGCATTTTCGAGAAAAAAATTCATTAACGAAAATCTAGTCTGAGGCCAGAAATGTGGTTCCCAAAATGTCAAGCGACTCTTTAAAATGTCATAACTTCTGAACGGATTGGACGATTTTAATGTTTCAAAAAGCAAACTACGCGTATTTTGGTGGAGAATATGTAGAAATTCCAAAAATATTCGAAAAGTTGCTCCTTAACCCAGTAAAATGAGAAAAACCCTATAAAAATCGTTCAATATTCAAATGGCCATAACTCCTACAATCGTAAATATATTTCAATGAAACTTTTTTCTAAAATAGGGCTCGTGGATACCTACCAAAAAGTATTAAACGAAATTTCCGTAGGGCGTCAAACACAATTATTAAAAATGAAAAACGAATTTTCAAGAATAATCGACAGGGGGTAGGTGCCTTTTCTCGGCGAAAAAAAAAAATTTCAAATCGTTCCAAAAAAATTATTCTTAGCTAGGGGAGTCAATTACAATCATTTTTAGTTAATAAAAAAAACCTCAAAATCCTGATCACTTCCGAGAAAAAAATTCCATACAGGCGGAACTTTAAATTTTAATAACATTTTAACGAAGCCTCCATCAACAAATTAGTATTCTTGATTTTCGTCCTCTTTTAACCTCTAGAATCCTCCATTACAATTTTTCCCAGGGTTGTCCGAATACCCTGTATATTTAAAACCTCGTTTGCTCCTTTCAATTTATACTCGTAAAAAAAAAATTAATAAAGCTCCCAAAGGAACCAATATCACGGTTAGCAATAAAAATAAGCTTTCTTCCGTTTGTAGACAGAAAGGGGGAGAAAATAGCGTGGTCCAACGAGCCTGAGTTCCCCATTACGATCGATCACACGGAAAATATTACGTTCGTAAAATTTCACTTTCAAGGACAGTATCTTCATAAATCTGACGATGCAATATTTACACACGAATATATCGATTCTTAATAATTTCTGATTTATTTGCCCCCCCCCCCGATGGAATAGTCCAATGTTATATTCTTTTGTGCTGGAAGGTCAGATCGTTTCGAAGATACGTTCGATGTGTTATATCGAGCTCCAGGATGCACCAGTGTCGATAACAAATTTGATTTTTTATCATCGTTCCGGGGGTGAAAAAAACTCGATAATTCGATACGTGGGTGGTCCAACGGGCGAAAAATTGAAACCTTTCTCGTTTATTCGTCGCGATAGCCCAACGTACCGTGGCTTCACGGACCCGTAGATATTTTTCTTTTTTATTTAATGACTTTGTTTATCATTATCTTGGTGCACGGGGCTACGTGGGGGAGACCCTTGAAATTCAATGATTGCTCGTACGGTGCTTTGCTCGCCGTAAACCGGTCGGAAATAACGGGGTGGGAAATGGGTGCAGGGGATAAGAAATACGAGGGTGGCGATGATGTTACCTGGAAGTCGACTTTACCGCGCGTCGTATAAACGCGGAGACCCCGGGACAAAGTTTTTTTTACCGACGCTCGTGAAATACATACACCGTGGTACTACCCGCGTTCGTTAAACTACGATCGTTCGCTCCTTGTTGGGAATCGTGAGCGATCTCCTCCACT